AATATTTTGCAATTCGCATAGTTTCCTACCGCAACGTTTTGTCAAGGGGATGAGGAGATAAAGGAAGCGTGGTGGCAGATGCATTTCTGTATGACCAGACCGTTTGGACATAACCTTCTGGGTAGATCTATCTGAATGTTATCGTCGTGCTATATAATGACTTAAACCCCAAATCACTTACAAGATCAGTTCTCAGCTGTGAAACCGTCTGGTGCAGGGCAGTCCAGGATATGAACAGGTTATCCAGAGAGGCCATGGAGTCTCCATCCTTAGAAGTTTTTGAGAACTGACCAGGCAAAACCTTGAGTTACCTGGTCTGAAATCAGTATTGACTGTGATTTGAGCCGGTGGTTGAACTAGAGACCTCCTGAGGTCCCTTTCATTTGGAGTTGTTGAAAGAGACCTGTAAGTCTGTGTATTATTTTCTTGCAGTTGTCACATTTATTTAAAATTTGAAGCTGCCAATGATACAAAACATCAGATGTTCTTGAGCATTTGGCAGCTTCAGCTCAGTGATTTTTGTGACTGAATTTCTGGAAACTTGCACTGCCTAACAAAATAAGCAGGAGCCCTCAACTTGGAGCCATTGGGTGACTCCACCGCTGAAGCAGTAGTTATCCTCATAAACCCAGCGGGTAGTCTTTTGTCCCCTGTAATCTAAAGGTGCTAGCTCTTGTGATTCCAGGTAGTAAATTGTCGACATAAATTGAATGGTTCAGAATCTGAACAGAAAGTAAAAAATCCGAAACATGCCTCAACGCTTTCTCATATTTAACCACATTCTAGCTTGGGAAAAGGTACCCTATTATTTTCTGAGGGTGTTGCTGTCGATGCTATCATCCTTCCCTGACCTGCTTGCCTAAATGAGAGGAAATTTGACGTCTGCTTCTGACCTTGGCAGAGGCCGGCGTGTGCCCATTCCTGGGGTAGCGGTGCTGAGTGCCCAGTCTGCCATCTCACGTCGTCTCCGCTGGCATTTCCTGCAGCTTTTAGTCGTTCCGAAAACAGTCTTCAAATATCTTTTATCAGGTGGCATAATACAAATTGACTGCAGTGTAGATGCGCTAGCTCACAAACCTAAATCACAAACCCATTTACCTACGACTGTGCTTCAAATTATGTTTTCAAATTATTCAAATTGATGTTTTCTTCCTGTGCAAACAAAATATCCTAATCCCATCTATCAGGGGAAGAGGAGAATAGGATTGCAATAGAATTTGTGGGTGGAGAATTAATGTCTTTGATACATACCCTGGTTTTCAATGAAGAAATAAATGCTGGCATTTCACTTCCCCTTATGAATATTGATCAAAACATTGACTGTTACTGTTTTGTATTATATTCTTGAGAGCATAGATTTCTTGGCTTCTTAAAATTAGTTGGTTTTTTTTTTTTCTTGTGTGGCCTTACGGAGAATACCCTCCTTCCAAACAAGTGTAAGTACAATAATGCCAAATCAGCCTGAGAGGAAAAAGTAGTGATGCATACAAATATATTGCAGATAGAATGCCTGTCGCAAATTCTGATTACAGCCTCACAGTCATGAATAAACAAACTCTTGCAATTACTCCCAGCTAATGTTACCCTGACAACAGTATATATAACAAAATTCAGTAATCACTGCCAACAAAACCCTCAGTACAGCTAATGCTTCTGTTTGCCAGGATGAAATACTTTCATTAAAGTATTAAATCAACTCCAAGTCGTAAGTCCTGCTTTTAATATTAGGATCCAAACTAATCACTAAAATGTAATTAGTCATTCCAGTGTGTGGAGAGAAGTTTGCTTTGAGTTCCCTATTTGTAAAATAGCAATATGTGAAAGGGGAAGCTGGGGCTTTTCACCAGATACATAGTGGTGGGTATATCACTTGTCATCATTCTGGCAAACGCAGCTCTCTGGTACTTCTAGATATTAGAGGCTTGAGGAACAGCAACCTCCGGGGCAGGGGGTGGGAAGAAAGCAATTTGGAAATATTTTTTATTTAATTTACTAAGAGGTAAAAATGGTGCAATCCAGTATTTAAAAGCAGCAGGCTACATCCTGGTATAAACAGGGTTCTACTCCAAAATGCCAATAAGTTAGATGTCAGTTTAAATAAGTTACTGGTGTGTTGCCTCCTCTGAGCTCTGATCTGCTGTGTAACTTCTGTTGTCGTCTCTGTGATGATGAGATTTTGTGGATATTACGTTTTATTTTCAAATTGTATTTACTTTTAAGGAACCCTAAATGATGCCTTGACAAATACTTGAATTTTTCCATTTCAGAGGAAGTTCTATCCAATTCAAAAATTTTCACCTTTGATGCTTAGCGTTCCAAGAGAGAGCACTGAATTTGCGGTGTTTCTGAACACTGACACCTGCTAAATACTAGCAGCTAACATTGGTTAAGTGCACAAATAGCCTGTAAAAAATAGTAACTTCCTTTTAGTAGGGAATTTTTTTTTTTCATTTACATGTGTTAAACTAATTCATTTTAATATTTAGTATTTCGGTTGACTAACTGAGGTGGAAGAAGCAGGACCAACCTAGGGCTCTTGCAGGTTTTGAACTGAAGAGGTCTTGAAGGATACAGTTCCTAGAAAGATATCATTAATACCTTTCTCTGCATACACTATTTCTTCTGTTTACTCAAATTTAAATATTTACTCTGCTTGATACATAATAAATATTTTTTTTAAAATATGAGACTAATTGAATTTACTTGCTTTAATACAACTTAATGCATTTCTAAACTGAATCCCAGTTTTAGAGAGCTGAAGTTTGATACAATTCAAGGGAATTGATACAAAATCAAGGGAAACTGTAGGCAAAATAATAAAATATTTTGTCACCATTTGACAAAATACGAAAAATGTAAGAAAAATGATTTTCTTTTTGAAGTGTAGAAGACCATTTAAACTTGCGTAGGTTTGTGTCTTCCCACTTTGAAAGTTGCTTGTGATCACTTTACAGCAGCAGGGTTTTTTATAATTACTTAATCCAATTATTATGGTATTCGTTTACTGATTAGGATTATTGCTAAAATCAGTGATTTCTTTAAAAAAAAAAAAGTCTCATTTTTGGGTTTCTATCCCAAGTAAAATCGCTGGATTTCATATCCCTTCCCCTTGAATTTTAATAATAGAAGCTGGTGTTCTGCAATATTAGTCTAATGACCTGCGTTCTGTAGTAGAGATCCATAACTTGATAGTGGAACTTCCACGTTTATTTCTTATCTGCAGTTGCATTTCCTCAGTCTGTCCTGGTTTGATGGGAAGAGCAGGAGGCAGGAGAACCTTGCAAAGTAATTGATATATATCACAGTCATCAGCGGTGGTATTTACTTGTCTGACTGGATTGGTATTAGTCTCTTAAATCATTTGAGTTGTTTTTGCTGGGTAAGTTGGTTAGAAACAATTTGGGGTTTGGGGATGATTAGTCTCAATGGCCTTGTGGTAGGGGAGTCCATGGTAGGCATTTCTGCCCAGCTGAAACGGGGAATTTAGCAGAAAATCTAGTAGAGTCTCTTTCTTAAACTTTGTACTTTAGATAGACAAGAAACATGCAGTGAAAGGGGTATTACCTGTGGACCAAACCTTTTCAAGAACGCCTCTCCTGAATACAAACAAGCGGCATGGCTGTTCTTCAGTACAACTATTTCCTCATTTTATTAGCTGTGATAGGAATTTTTGCCAAGAGGTTTTCAGGCTTTCTCGGTTAGACTTCATACTGAAGTCTGGAGTCTCCAGTTCAGCCTTCGGTATCTTGTGTGTGTTTGTAGGGTTTGGTTTGTTCGTGTTAGCATCTAAAGGATGCTAACACTGTGTCTTGTGTGTGTTTGTAAGGTTTGGTTTGTTCGTGTTAGCATCTAAAGGACATTGTGAAAGCAGTGACCCCTCTTGTAGAAATTCTGTTTGGCTCATAGCTCATTAGCTTAATGATAATATAAGGTGAGGTAAAACAGGAGTCTGGGCTGAATTACAAGTAGCAGTTCTGTGATGTTTTATTCAATTGCAAATGGAAAAAATAGAACTTTTAAAACGTCAGTCTTTTTGGTCTAATAATCTTTGTGATAGAGAAGAGTAATTTTATATTTTTTAGTGCTTAGAAGTGTAAGCATCTTCGTCGACATCATACTTGCTAATGTGCAGATTAGCTTGTGCCGCCATTTTTCCTTATTGATTTGGTCTTCATAATCAGGGCAGTGAATTGTAACAAATGCTGCATCCAAACACTTATCCTCATCCTGTGATATGCTAGAAATAAATGAAATGTTCTGGACAGGAACTGGAGGGGAGAAAACTGATAGGATCTGCAGGTGCAGTGGAATTTATCAACCAGATATTTTGAGAGAAGTATTGAGCAGAATAAAGTAAGTGTAGGTTAGTTGATTGCTGGGCACATTTAGGCTGCAGCCCTTTGCTACTTGGTCTAATTGAGATCGGGTGAATGTTGCTTAACAGAAAAAATTGTTCAAAGAAAAATCTCAAATTAGCCATAGATCTCGTAGAAAATGGTTTCATTGCTTTTGAGTAGAGACAGCTATCTCCTGAGAGTGGGTTGTTAAAGCTTTAGCTGGTGCTAGCTGAAATAATAAAAAGTAAAGCTGAACTCTGCTTAAGAAGAGAATTATTCTAGTGGCTGAAGGATCGGGTGGCTTTTCTCTAGAGTTTACCAGTAATGAATGAGCTCTTCAGCTTTCACATGGTCCTTCACTGATTCTTGAAACCCCAGAGAAAGGTGGGGGGGGCATGGGAATCCTTCTGAAAGACTACTTTGCTCTTTACTCAATGGCAACAAGGCAGAACCAATCATAGGACTGAACTTTTTAAAAAATTCTAAGTATTATTTAGCGTAGTTAATATTTTTTCCTTCTGTAGTTCTAATAGTAATTGAAAAAGTGCACTGGGTATGCAACAAGTACTTTTCACTTCTGATTTATGGCTATTTTGTTTTACAGTATTTCTCTTGATAACTGAACTTTCCTTTTTTGTTTTTTTTTTCACCTAAACAGCAAGACCATTTACAAAATTGGTGAAGGAAATGCAACTTCATCGAGATGACTTTGAAATTATAAAAGTGATTGGAAGAGGCGCGTTTGGTGAGGTAAGAGATTTTTACTCTCAGTTACAGTAACGTAACTTTCATCCTTTGTGCGGCTGATTTCTTCCTGCAGTTGACCTCTACTTGTCCTAAAGACAAAAGATTCACACAGATGTGTTAAAATACCTCCAAATGTGGGATACGAGCTACGTACTGGTGAAATGTCCCTTTGAAGCGCAGGATATTTATTGTCCAGTTCTGCCATTTCTGTGACTGGCTCGTTCTGACCTGGGTGTAGCAAAACAAGTGTCTCTCCGATGCGTTATCTGAAGAGGGTGGTCCCACCTAGCAGCTGCACAGCTGAATTTGGGATCTCTTCTCCCACTTGCCATATGTACTCTTCTGTGCTGCTATAATTTAACACAGAGCTGGGCTGCTTCTACGGCAGGAACGCGGAGGCTGCTCCACCCATCTGCCTGTCTCTGTAGCAATCTGGTAATGCAGAAAGACGCATTTGGCTGCCTCAAAGGCTGTTCCCCGTCATCTTTGAAGATCAAAGGCTGCTGGATGTGTTTTTTTCGGACAGCAAGTCGAATCATGCTGGGACGATAGGAACGCCTTGCGTTTTGAGGACTCGCCAGTCCCAGGACCCTGGACTGAAGCTTCACTTCTTAATACGCTTGATGAAAGTCACATCAGTCACAAGTGCTCTGATAGGGCTTGCCACTGGCAAAAGCGTTCATGAGCAAGTCCCCTCCAGCACCCATAGGATACCTGCATAAAGTCCCCTCCAGCACCCATAGGATACCTGCGACTTCTGGAGAACCTCAAAGACGACTCTTTCAAGCATTTGAGTACACATAACTAAAGACATAGCTGTCAGCAAAAGAAGTTATTAGCTAGAGAGTTTCTAGAATTAAAAAAACACCTTAGATTTCTTTCAGGAAGCTTCTTTTAAGTAGTGCCATACTAAAGTCAAATGTAGTGACAGCCATTAGCGGCTCACTTCAGCTCATTAGCACTTGGTTACAACTTCTGCTGCCGGTGGCTAAGGTTAGGCTTGCTTATCTTCATCTCCCATTGTCTCCACAGAGAGCAGGACTGTGTGCTGTGCAGGGCTTTCTTTCCAAGCATAGTGTGCCCTGGACACTTCAAACTCTTTCACACAGGGTTTAAGGTGGGACAGAAGTATCACAGGTAGAACAGATACTGAGCTAGAAAAGTGCCAGGACCCTGCTCAACCTGGGTTCAGGAAGCAATGAGGTTTCTGTGTGTGTGTGCACTTGGGGGTGGGTGAAGTAATAGCTTAATTTCCACATAATTTTAAGGTACTTCAAGGACTGCTTTTGAGGAAAGTGGACACCTAAGACAGAAATTAATGTTTCAAGTACATCTCTTTGTCTGTACCACCCTTTCATGATGTGAAGGGGTAACATGAAGTTCAGGTGTAGTCTTGTGACCATGGCTGCTGAAAGAGCTTAAGCATTTTAAGTAAAATGTCCAGATAAATAGTAGCATCTTGACCTAGAAGACAAAAGTTCACTTTCTAGTGGATGCTGAACTTGATGAGTTGCAACATTTGTTCCAGAAAAGGAAGTGTTATCTTAGGTTAATGGAAATACTGCATGAGAATCGGCTGGCTGTTTTACTGGAGAGGTTGCTTTTAGCTGGCATCTATTATCTGAACGTAGCTTTTAGAGAGAAAAGTTACAGCGAAGAGTTTGGTGGGAGAAAACAGAAATGGGAGAATTTTTATAAGACTAAAAAGGGCTGAAAAATACAAGTTAAGTCGAGAAAAGAGGTCTGAGCATTTAGATGTTTGAATAGAGAGAAAACCTAGAGAATAAGACAGTAGTAGGTAACTGCCTCCCTCTCCATTAGGGTTTTGATTCAAAGCAGTAGCACAGTTTTGAAGAGATTGCCCCCACTTACAGCAGAATGATTTTGCTGTGCATGACCTGGATTTCTTTTGGAGGAAGCGAAACCAGAACCTCCGTTCCAAGTGTGCACCAAATGTGCTTCTGGCTGCAAAGGGTACATAAGAGTCAGTCACTGGGGTTGACTCTCCTAACAGCTTCAAAGCATTTTTGGTCTAGGAGAGCAGGCTAAATACAGTCTGAAGCAAAATTCCTGCACTGCGTACAGTAAAGATGGGAAGGCTCAGCACAGGCTACTTTTATCTGTTGTTCTGGTCTTGCCTTGCCAAATTACTTGCTGTAGTGGCTGTGACCACTGATATCTAAAGAATTTTAGATTAATGTTCTGGCAGTTTGTCTTTTGGTGGGATTAGAAGTGGTTTCTGGCTCTTTTCAGAACTAGACTTGTGAATGCTGTAGCTATCAAAAATTGTTTCAGGTCAAGGGAACCCTTTATAGTGACTTGCAGATGGAGTCAGTGTTGGGAATGCCTTCACACAGTATAACTTTAAGGAAGAGCTGTTTTCCCTAGTACTCGCTCTGTTCTTTTTCAAAAACGTGCTCTTCTCCACGTCAGGAGTTGACCAACTGGAAATCTCGGTACGACAGCAGATGAAGTATTTATATGAACTTCAAGTTCATATAAATGAATTTCAAACTAGGGGGTTTAGGATGATCTTTCTTAGCTCTGGATCAAGAGTCTTAAGGTGTATAAAAGATACAAATTCTGGGTGGAAGCTTGTATTAATAGTGTTTGGAGTGCCTGAATCAACAATGTCTTTCATATTCTTTCATTTGGAAAAGCATGAAACTTAACTAAAGCAATTCATATATTCCATTCTCCCCAGGAGAAATGAAGTTTCACTGTAGTGGAGAAAGTATCTTAATTTCATCCTTCTGTTAGAGCTGTGAGTTCTCACAGAGTCAGTGGTGTTAGTTACCATCAATATCACGTTGTCTTGTTCGTCTCATAAAAGTTTTAGTTTATAGTTGTAACAGCTTGAAACTTTTTGATCAATTTAAATTATGCAGGAATCATTTGGTTTAGGTTCATTATACTTTAATCCCACTTGCCAGAGAGTATTTCATGCTTTTTGCTTGTTAATGAATCTTTTGACCCTGGTGTATGTACTACAGTGCTATAAGTGCCAAATATTATAGGCATTATAAAATAGTAATAGTATAAAGGTTGAGATTCCGTAATAAGAAAATAAAATCTCATTTCTTGAGAGGGACTTGTGACATCTGACTCATATAAGGCAACAATTTGGAAAACTGAATGGGGGATCTGTAACTAATTTTTCTACAGTACATTTATACATACATGGGAACTATGTTAGAAATTAGCTGATGGGATTCTACTGGTTAAAAGGTTATTCATTATTTCTTGTTTAAAAAAAATCAAAGACAACTATCTGCTAGAATTAAATTTTATAAATACCTATAAAATATTTGTTAGAATGCATAAATAAATTAATCAGAATTAAACTAACCATATTTCTATTAGAATTAAGTAGTTTAAATTAAACGCTGAACAGCTAAACAAGCCAGACTTCAAAAAGGATGAAAACTACATTCCATTCTTCTCAGTTTAGCAACTTTGGACATTTTGGAGAATGCCAGGGGCTGTAGTCTTACCAAAGAACTTTTGCATAAATCAGTAACTTTGAAGAAAGATACCTTAAGAAAAATAAAGGCGTGATATTAGTTATTAGTCAGGATAAGCGGTCAATTTTTGCCACACAACATGTAAGTCAAGGTAACATGGTCTTTGCGTTTGTCCCTGTGAACACAACTGCAAAATGAGTACCTAATTTAAGGCAGATTGATATAATCATCAGTACATTTCTGTACTAGTATGTCAGTGCCTTTTCAAACCATCAGAAGTCAACCTGTTCTTTATGCTTGTTCCGGCAACATGAGAACAGAACCCAACTGGTAATCCAAACCACCTGAGCGAAAGTTCTTATAGCACAGGAGATTTGAGAAAGCAAGAGAAAAAAAATATTTCTTAAAGTTCCATTCCATTATTATGGTAAGACAGAAACAGCCTAGCTCAGAACCTGGAGATTTCTTCTTTCGCCACCTGCCAAAACACGCAGTTCTCCTTTTCTCATAAACTAAGCCAACTGCTTTGCCTGCCAGGTAAAACTGAATGTCTGAATATCCTTTACAGCGACTTTTAAGGCTCTGACTCCTGGAGTCACTGGCTTGAGAAAATACTTTAATTTTTTCAGAAGTTTCATAGCTATGAAGAAAAGTTGGTTATGTTCTTTGAGTTCGTGACAGCTAGAATAGCATATAATTTGCAATGCTAGATGTAAGAAGGACAAACTATGCGTGGCTCTTCCCCATCTCGTAGGGTGTATTCTCCTGGGGGTATGCTGAGCTGGGTGGAACATTTCCAGGAGTGTCCCAATGTTACTGTCAGTCTTCCTTTTTTGTGGGTCATATGGGCAGATACCTCATGTGCAGAGGGGCAACCTCCATGAGGAATAAAATTAGTAGTAATTAAAAAGCCCTCTGAAAGAAATTCAGAACTAAAATAGTTTTCTGTAATCTAAATTCCACTTTCTATTAGTAAAATTAGTGTAGAAGTCTATCTTTGTAGACAAGAATGAGTATGTTGTGTAGGGTGAAGTTTTTTGTCAGCTAGTGAAAATACTTATTCTTTAGGAGAAAGTTTAAAGAATATGAGCACAGGATGCAAAACTCCTCTAGCTTTTAGACCTTTAAAAAAACCACACCAAGACAACAACAAAAAACCCCCAACCCACCTGTGGCTTGAAGTTTGCCTGTGCCCGACTACTCCTTCCTTCTAGAAACTCTGTGGACCATTATTTGGAAGGAAATCGTGTCCTGAGAATGTGTGCGTGGTGGAATTGTGCCTACCTGAGAAACTTGTGCCAGCCTAAGAAGTGCCTTCAGTGTGCTTGGTGTTGGCTTCTGGCCACCAAGGGAGCTGGGAGCACTACCATATGGGGAGAGGGACAGGAGGAGGACCCTGTGCATGGGGACTATCTGGCTCTAAATACTTGCACTTGCTCCTTTGCAAGCTTCATCTGACCTCTTAGTCATGTAATTGTAAGTCTTTAAGATCGCTTGTCCTCGTTTTGTGTAAAGGACCATTAAGGAACACTACTGTAA